CGCCTTCTCCTTTACTAATGCGAGCAGATCAAAGTATCACAGCATTAGTGTCGTTAATTTTGATAGTGATATACTTGAGGTTGATGAGGGGACTCATAGTGGATAGGAACCTTAAGTGAGATCAGCATATACTTAGACTGACAAGTAACATTCGGATTACTAGGTATATGAGTATATGAGTTTTACATACTGAGGGACATTCTACGCAATGGACTTCTGATAAGTGTATACAGAGCTCTGGTAGAGTCTCTGATAAGATATAGTGTGGTTGCGTGGGGTGGCCTTTACCAAAACTCTCTGAATAATACATTGAACGTATCTAGTGCAAAATTACATTATGAAAATCAAATATCGGAGAAACAAACTGTTCTCCACCAACTTACTATATTCGGTAGACGGTCTGAGTGTACGGGCAACATTTTGCCTCACATCATGTTCGTATATTCATAATACTTCAAAACTGAGAAATATAAGCATGAAACTAGAAGTAAGACTGGCAAATTGGGGTTCAGGTTCAATGACAGATGTAGAGCATTTATATTTAATAATTTTGATAGGTTTATATTATTCTAAATCATTAGCATCAATTGTTACGTCTACTGCCATTGGCTAGGTATATACAGGGTGTCCCAGGGAAAACAGTTCAGCTAGGTTTACGGCTTTGGACGAAAAGATAAAAAAAAACCCTCGGACCATAAAATTTTGTTTTCAGGGGGACACATTTTATTGGTATTTTTACCCCTTACTTGACAACCCCTAAGCTAGGGTGATAGGTACCAACAAAATTTCAAATGCAGATAGGGGACAAGTGATACGTCATTCGATAGGTCTTTTCATTAAGATTATTTCATTCATGACATAATAGACGAATCAGACAACCTCATTTTTTGAATACATTTTGTTTAAGTAAGTGATTATTGCACAAGACCTGTTTATTCGCGATTAAATTTTTGTTTACCTTTTTTGACAGAATTTTGATAGAAATATTCTGACATTTTATCATAAATAGAACTATTTGTTGCTGGCTTTAAACCCAATTATTCAGGAAATAATCTAGCCGTATATCACTCGACCTTATAAATTTGAATGGATTATACTATCCAAATTTTTTTTGCAATATTTTGCTTTTTGGCAAATAGTTTCATGCACAATAACTTTCAAATAAAATTGCTACTATTTACCCTGCCAAAATGGCGACTTGTACTGTGGTGTTTTTACCTGTTACTTCCGCAGGTCTATAAATAAAAACCATCCTGTTTATCAAAAACCCATTAATTAAAACTATAACACGGATTATCAACAATCAGGTCAACGCGTAAACTAATGTTCACACGAAATGGATATAAAAACCGATGCAACCCATGGTATCGGCACACATTTGGGTCCTTCTCTCTTCAGGGTCGCCTTACCCCAGAGAGTCTTGGAGCAATCCTTTTCAAGGTCGCCTTACTCCAGAGAGTCTCGCCCTTCAGGGCATCGCCGCCTATACGTGCGGAAACCAGTTGCATCTCCTTAGATAATATACGTTAAGCTCCTTTTTGTAGTTGTGTGTTTTTCTGAAGAGAAACCCCTAACCTGAGGTCCTACCCACATAAGCCGCAACGCGTGTGACATATGGTGGAGGCGCCGTTCGAAGAACCTGTGATGCTGAATCTCCCTATCTAGCATCGAAGTAGGTACCTATTTGAAAAGCGGGAAAATACCCCAGTCAAAAGACATGGAGAAGAGTTCCCGATTACGCAGTCGTTCTACTAACATATCCAGGGTCTTCCGCTCTGGATTCAGTAGAACCAAAGAAGCCAGTGAAGACGCCTTGCAGTCTATTTTCGAATACTAATGGTCGGGATGACAGATCCAAATCCAAAGACGAAGGTGGTCACAATCGCTTCCATGGTCCAGCAGCTTTTAGGAGCAACAGGTGGTGAAGTGCTTCTGCACTAATTAATATTTATTTTCTGCTAGGTTTAAATAGATTATAATATTGTCATTATGGTCTACGATTTTCTTGGTTTATATTTGATTTTCGTGTTTAATTTTTACGTTCTTTTGGTTTAAATAGATTTTAGAATATTTGCATTATGGTTCACGATTTTGTTGGTTTATTTACATGTATTTGGTTTTTGTATCAAGAACAATAAAAAAAGTAGTATTATTGTAAATTATTGTATGATCACATGGCACTTGGGGACCAACGCTTTCACAGGAGGGGCATAGCTTAACTGGTCTATAAATAAAAACCATCCTGTATATCAAAAACTCATTAATTAAAACTAGAACACGGATTATCAACAATCAGCAGTTTAGGCAGGTCAACGCGTAAACTAATGTTTACACGGAATGGATATAAAAACCGATGCAACCCATGGTATCGGCACGCCATTTGGGTCCTTCTCTCCTCAGAGTCTCCTTACCCAAAGGAGCAGTAGCTACACTTCTCTTCAGGGTCGCCTTACCCCAGAGAGTCTTGCCCTTCAGGGCATCGCCGTCTGTACGTACGGGAACCACTTGCATCCCCGTATATGTACGTAGAGCCCCGAACGTGAGAATCATGTGGCGCAGCTACGTAGTGCCCCGTTGGTGATGAACCTACTAGCAGACAATATTCGTTAAGCTACTTTGTGTAGTTGTGTATTTTCCTGAAGAGCAACCCCTAACCTGAGATCCTACCCACATTAGCCACGAGGCGTGTGAAAATATATTTATTAATTGTAGTGTTATAGATGGATAATGTCATAGGTACAATGGTAAAAACACATTGCATATACACAGGTGGTCCTGTCTATACCTAAGTGCATTTTAAATTGTATTTTAGACTTGTTAATTGTAAGTTTTTAGAAATAAGTCACAGCTCTGAAACGTAGGAAAATCTGGTAATATATTTGATTCGATTGAAGTGTTTAATTGTTCATCTCCTTTTCTTCGTACTTCAATGCATCCTACTTTAATTTTTGAAGTTCTTCCTCAACCTCGGATCAATTTGTGTCTGATAGAAGCGTTCTTACATTTACGGAAGCAATATGCATTGGTCGTCTCCTGCAGTAGCGTATTCTCATCCGGGGATTCTTAGCACCCTCTGCTGTCATGCCAGTTTGACCGCTACCCTGGTTAGTGGAATACAGGCCGCCGGAGACTGACGGACCTCATTAAAGACTTTTCTCATTCGTTCACCGTTCGTGATGAAATCTAAAAGGAAGTCGGCGAAAGCTTGATTAAATTCGATGAAGCATGGGGAAGGATATCCGAAGTTTAGAGGATGTTCACGAAATGTTTATTGAAGAGACAATTTTTTTGCAAAATTTGGAAGGTGGTTGGTGGTTTCTTGCTCGATGACTTCTGGACCGCCAAAGTCAAGCTGAATACAATGCTACTTTCAATCCGTCGTGAGTGTGAAGTGTATAAAGCTGTACCATCAATAAGAGAGATATTTATTTATTTGAAAAAACTGAGTTCTTAACATTGGTAAAGCAAGACTAAAGGCGCAGAAAAAAGTGTTGAGATATCGTCTTTAACAAACCCCTATCCTACAATGTCCTGTCGCTAAGCGTTATATGTTCATGTGACAATCCACAAGATATCTTTAAAATCTACAAATTGGTAAGCTTTTGTTTCACGCATTTGTAAATCAATCAGTTATCAATCTCAAGGTGATTGCATATGCACCGCAGCAGCGGTATCCGCGTGCAAGAAGTGAAGGCGACAGTTTTGGTGGCGGCCAGTTCAGGCCCCTTCCATGTAGCTCCCAAGCCGCAAGCCGCAAAGGAGAAAGGCCACTCAGGAATGGTACCATACGTCTAGTTTTTCTCATCTTTTCAATATATGTTTAGAGCCTATACGTTAGACAATTAATATTTTTATAAATAAACTAGAAAAAAAATATTTGTCAGAAAGCTGAAAAGCAGTAAACTGTCCGAAAGACGAGGAAAAAAAGAGTAGGTAGGTACCTAGAATAAAACATACAGCATTTCCGAATAAGGTATCAAGAAAAAAATTTAGGCAATCTTGTTAGGAGAGGAATATTTTCTAAAAAAAGACGTTAGGATTAATGTAAAAAAAGTTTAAACTAGTTGAAAGAGTTTGCAAGAGAAACCAAAAAATTCAAATAGAAATCTGCAGAGTCAAAAGTACCTAATGGAAGGAGTTCTCGCAGATGATTTGGTATATAATTCAATAATAGCTAGAATTGACGAACTGCTGCCAAAATTTGTAATTGAATAATAACATTTTGGCTTTTTTTAATTCATTTTAGTGGATTTCAGAATTTCTTTTTTCTTAAATTATTAGGTAGCTATTTTGTTTTATAGCCATATTTTACTCTATCTTATCAAATGAAATTGGTAGTTTCCTAATAATTTCAGCAATGAGATTTTATTATAAGCCAGAGGATCATATTGCGGTTTAAATTATTATTATTTTCATTACCTAATAATTATTAAAAGCCCTGTAGGTAAACAGAAAAACTAAACAATTATCATAAATGACATGGATGAAGAGGAAAAACACATGCATTTTCACCAAACACCCTCACGAAATAACAATAATTTAAAATGCTCTTGTTATCGCCATCGCTATAATTGTTCACCCAGAATTTCCGCACGTATTCGCCTTCTTCCAGTTCTTCCTAGAATTTAGAAACAATAAACTAAATCTTATAAAAGCACCCCATGTTTTTGTTTACGAGAAACGAAAATTTGCATAGAAATTGGACTACAGAAAGACATCATTATTATTCATAATGTATAAAGTCGTTAGCCGTTTACTTATATTACCAAAATATCATGTTAAAAGTATTTTATATTTTTGTATATTCTGTCAGAATTTGTAAAAGAACTCCAAGAACATCAAACAAATACCTATAGTATAAGGGACCTACTAGATAATATCTGCACACGTAAGTTGAAAATTTAATAATCGTATATATGGTGCCTCTCCCAAGTGAGAGGGAAACCAAGTCTTTCGATTTTGGTCGATTTTATGAATTTTTTAATCGAAAGACATAATACTGTTAACCGCTCCCGTAATATATCTTATTACTTGCGACCGTGGTATACCGGGTGTTCGGTTTCGTCGTGCCCGAACGTCAGAACGAATCGATTCAAATTTGGATTTTTGTGTTTTTTTTTTGGGAAATTTTAAGGAACTAAATTATTGAGTGGATTTTAATTTTAATTGATTTAATAAATTGGAAAATGGTGAGTGACGTTTAATGATTTTAAGAATATGCTTATTAGTTGCGGGACCAAAAAGCTGCTTTGCAGTTTTTTCAAATTTTTCATCACACTAAACCAATAATGAAAAATATAAAAAGAAAAATACTTGAGGGTTCTTATATAAGTATTTTTCTTTTCATATTGTTCATTAATGGTTTAGTGTGAAATTCTATATTTTTAAATTTATATTTGTCACTAATTCAAAAAAAAGGTTGATGCAGATATTAAAATCAATCTATATTAAATTTCCAATATTGTTTGATTATTTACTGTGGGTTTATAGTTTTTGAGCAGGTAATTAAAAAATCAAAATTTTCTACAAAATTTTCCAATAAAATAAAATTAAAAGAGAATGCATGTTAGTAGGTGTTTGAATCGACGTCTATTCTAAATAAATCGGCAATATAACAGTGACGAGGTAATACTGTAATCAAGCAACGTAATGAAAAGCCGATATAATTTTTTTATTGGTCGTGTTTTAACCGGTAATTCATACAGATAGTAATAATAAAGGTGGACTCGATTTAGGTTACTTTGGAAAGGCGGAATATGTATTGCAATTTTATTATTTTGTTACTTGGTCGCTGTAAAATATTTTGCATAGATTTTCTACACATTATACATTTTGGTTACTTTCGATGGAATAAATTGAGGGATTTTGATTTATGTATAAATCTTAAATATTAAAAATATCTTCAATGATATCCTGGTTCGAAAGACGAATTTGTTTTTCAAAGAAATTCAGACAGACTCTTGACTTTTTAATATACAGTCATGAGCACAAAAAGTGGGACACCCGACTACCCGACTGACAGGTCTTGTAATTTTTCGCTATTTTGCGTAAATCAGTCTTTTCTCTACAATCGATTTTTTGTCAAATATGACAATCCCTGTCATTGCCGTAGGTATAGCTGGTGAGCCCGTTTTACAATAGGAAAAAACGGGTGCCCCACTTTTTGTGCTCACGACTGTATATTGACAAACAGTTATTATTAAAATTTTGTAACTGGTTAACTGGTAAAGGTAAGTCATAAAAAAAGGGTAAAATATAAACAATAATTAATAATGAAAAGGAACAGTAACATTCTCCCTCCCTAGTATTTGTTGGCGACAACAAATACTATCCTTTTTTGTCATTATCGCATTGTCCAGAAACATCAAGTATGCATAGTCTTGCTACAGGTCTCCTCAAACTAGAACCGTTTGTTGTACGTACATCTACAGCTCTGATTCGTTTATCTTTATCCGGATAGTCTTCAGTAACAATGCCTTTAGGCCAAATATTTCGGGGTCTGTCAGAATTATTTAGGAGTACAACATACCCTTTTTTAATATTTTCATGATCTTTGTGCCATTTCTTTCTACAAATTAATGATGATAAATATTCTCTTGACTATCTTTGCCAAAAACTATCAGTTAATTTTTTCAGCAGCTTTCCATTTACTAAGTAAATTCAAGTTTTATTCTGCAATTTTTGTCCATGGTAATACTGCATAGGGCGGTTCAATTTGAGAAGTGGTTAGGAGTCAGTGCTTCGGAGTCGTCTGGATCAGATGAAACATGAGTCAGTGATTGACAATTTAGGATATGTTCTATTTCGGCGAATGCTGTTCGTAGAGAGGAAATTTTTCTCGAAGAATTTCATGATGTACCTAAATGCTTCTTACCACACCCAATTAATCTTTCTCATGTTCCACCCATAAAGGTGCTAGTGGTGGATTGAAAATCCATTTAACACTTTTTAAACTGCAAAATTCAGAAATTTTTAGATCATTATTTAATAGTTCCAAATTTTCATTCAGCTCCTTTGAAATTCTGTCCATTGTCACTATAAATTTCTTCTGGATATCCTCGTCTACAGGCAAATTGTCGTAAAACATGAATAAATCCATCCGTTGACATATTATATGCAATTTCCAGGTGTATAGCACGTGTCACCATGCATGTAAATATGACACAATATCTTTTTTTATGACTTCTTTTCACGGTTACTAGAATGGGACCAGAATAATCTATTCCAGTTTTGATGAAATGTCTAATGGTCAGTCCCATTCTACATGGAGGAAGCTGTCCCATAATAGGAGGTTTTTTGAGAAGCTTATCTATTTTTACACCATTGACATTCCGCCCAACATCTGATTCTATGTTTTGGATCTAAAATTATGTGTGTCTTTACTTTTTCATTTAATTTAGCATTATTGAGTCTTCCTCCAAGTCGTATAAGATCGTCTTTATGAATAGCGTCAAGTATGAAAACTCGATTTTTGGTACCTTGTTGTTTTGCAGTTTTGGACATATCTCAGAAGCAAAGCTTTTGTTCATAACAACCTGGTCCATTTAGAAAATCTCTTTACTTCTGGTACAACTAATTCCTCAGTGGTAAAATTTACAAAAATAATGGGTCAATTCTGTGCACATCTGTAAGCGATTCTATAAATTTCTATAAGCCTAAAGCTGCCTAAAGACAATTTGTAATTATTATTCTGCACTTCCTGAAGATCACACAATGTATTAGAGGATCGTAAATATTTCCGATCGGGTGTTTGGCAATCGATGCATTTTGCAGTGTACATAGGCTTATAGAAATTTATAGATTTGCTTACAGATCTGCACAGAATTGACCCGTTAATTCTTTTTCTTCTAGATCAATTTTATTTAAATTTTCCGATGATTCTTTTGGCCAATGCTCTTTGGACTTTAACAAAAACGAAGGACCACTTTACCAATTGTTTCCAGGTGAAAATCATATTTTGTCGTCAGTTTGGTAGCGTCATATGCGATATTTCGTTTAGAATTCACGTACCTCCAATCAAAAATATTTGTCCGCTCTTGTAGTTCACCAACTCTTTGAGCCACAAATACTTTGAAGCGGCGAGTTTCTGATTTAATCCAATACAAACCCGTGCTGGAATTAGACCAATAAAAACTGTTTGATATTTTCAATTGCAAATTTTTCTTAATATTTGATCCTAGTTTTGCTCCAGATAGAGTAGCTTGAAGTTCCAGGCGAGGTATAGACATCGGTTTTAGCGGAGCAACACGGGGTTCAGAAGTTAAAAAACTGATTTTTACTATATTTCCTTCCTCCCACCGAAGATATGCCACGCTAGCATAAGCGCTCTCTGAGGCGTCACAGAATATATTCAGCTGAATAGGGAATTTTCATATTTCTCAATTTTTTTTTTTAGATACTTCTACTAGTGATCAATTATTACATAGTTTTCTTTTTTTCCATTTTAATTTATACTTTGTACGAAAAAAAAATTATTGAAATTCAAATCAAAAACTTTGGCGCGAAAACACAAAATCTCAATATGACAGCGTTTGTGACGTTAAGATTTTGTAAACAACAAATACGTAGTTAACGAACTCCTGCTGACGCAGTGCTATTTTTGTGTTATTCAAGTGTGTTTAAGTTTGCTTTTTGTGAAAATTGTCGAAATGGATGAAGAATATTGTAAAGGACTGCTTTTGTATTTTTTTTTAACTTGCAAGTTCCCTATTGACAGGTTTGTTTACAGAATCGTGACGTCAAAAAAGGTAGCCATCATGGAAGCATTGTTTTGGCGGGAAATTTTTTATTTCAAATTTAATATTACTTTTTGTGTAACAAGGGCGGTATTAGTTAGATAAAAACCGGTCATATAAATGTTTTGCAGTATAAACTATCGATTTAAAACAAATTTGGAAAATTTTAGTTCACATGCAAGTTCCCTATTATACTTTTCTCCCTCTTTAATTCACAAAACTGACGAGGTAGTTTGAAATTTGAAATTTTGTGTAGTCCGTCAATCCAAATTTCCCATTTGGAATAGGGAACTTGCAAATGAACTAAAATTTTCCAAATATGTTTTAAATTGATAGTTTATACTATACTGCACAATATTTATATGGCCAGTTTTTCTTTAACTGATACCGCCCTTGTTACACAAAAAATATATCTAAATTTGAAATAAAAAATTTCCCGCCAAAACGATGCTTCCATGATGGCTACCTTAAATCATGACGTTACGAGCGCTGTCATATTGAAATCTCGCGTTTCCGCGCCAAAGTTTTTGATTTGAATTTCGATAATTTTTTTTTTGTACAACGAATAAATTAAAATGGAAAAAAAGAAAACTATGTAATATCTGGTGACTAGAAGTATCTAAAAATAAATAAATTGAGAAATATGGCTGTCACTGATTTTATCGTCCCATACAATTTTACTTTTCCATACTTCTTGTAGGGAAATTTTACCCTGAATCATAAAGTTTGATAAAAATTCTAGAGGGTCAAATATGGACATAACAACTTTCAACATTTCTTTTTTGGTTGGTCTTTACTTTTTGTCTAAACGGTCTTTATTTAATTTTTCAAATTTAGTCTTAAAACAAAAATTATCTTCTTTTGGATCCCACCAAACTCCCAAAATTCTTTCTGCTGAAGTATTAAAATTGTTTTTAAGAATTTTGTTAGATTTGGCAATAATGATTTGTCTATGTCTTCTAAAATGTGTGGAAAATTTGTGATCCAATCACATATTGTAAACCCTTCTTTTTTATGAATATCATAATTGTTTTTTTAAGACCTTGAGCATAGCTCACTTAGCCACGAAAACAATATTCAATAATTTAAACTTTAGTTAACTATTCACAATTACCTAAACCTAACCAACGATAGAGAAAAAAAGAAGAATCCAGCAACAAAGGAGAAACACATGGACAAACGCTTCTCGTTCTGGGGTCTATGCAGGATATTTTTAAACACAGGTGGACCCGGTTAGGAAAGATATATAGTATATAAGGAAAAAAACATATGAAACGATACTAACTAACTATCTTTCTAATAAGGACTTTACATAATTTTAAATATTCAATAAATATATCCTCCAAGTTATCATTTGATAAAATAAGCTCAATCGAACCCTTGTGGTTCATCAGTATTAGATGGAGTTTTTCCAATTCTCTTCTTATGAACGAAGTTGCCAATTCATTGTGTCT